ATGCTACTATCTATGAACATAGATGTCTAACTGATTTTTTAAAATTTACATATCAAATATTCATTGCTAATATACAGAAATATAGTATTGGCCTTGTATCCTTTACCTTCCTTAAAATAATTTTATATTCTAGGGACTTTTTGTAGATTTCAGTAGATCTCAGAATTTTATATGTAGACCATCATGTCATCTGTGAATCAATATCATTTTGCCTCCTCCTTGCCAATGCTATTTCTTACTGATCTTAGGGGAAGACTTTTAGCATTTCACCATTAAGTGTGATGTTAGCTGCAGTTTTTTTTTATAGATGCCCTTAACCGGATTAAGAAAGCACCCTCTGAGACTTTTTATCATATATACATGTTGAATCTGTCAAATACTTTTCCCTCATCTATTGAAATATGATCCATCTTCTTTAGTCTTAGTCTGTCAATATGATGAATTATATTGATTTACTTTGTAATGTTCAAACCCATTTGGTAAAGATAAAGATGTCTTACCTTTTTATATATTGTTGGATTCGATTTACTAATATTTGATTGAGGATTTTTATGTATATACTAGGGGCCCGGTGCACGAAATTCGTGCACTGGGGGGGGGGAGTGTCCCTCAGCCCAGCCTGCCCCCTCTCACATACTGGGAGCCCTCAGGCGTTGACCCCCATCACCCTCCAATCGCAGGATCGGCCCCTTGCCCAGGCCTGACGCCTCGGCCAGAGGAGTTGACCCTCATCACCCTCCGATCACCAATCACCGGATCGGCCCCTTGACCAGGCCTGAGGCCTCCGGCAGAGGTGTCAGGCCTGGGCAGGAGACCCCTAGCTCCCCACGGTTGCAGGCTCCGCCCCTGCCCAGGCCTAACGCCTCTGGCCTAGGTGTCCGGCCCGGGCAGCGGGGACCTGCAGTGGCAGCCGGGGGCGCCGCGATCGCGTGGGCTCTGCCCCTGCCCCTGCAGGACGCCTCTGGCTGAGGCGTCCGGCCCGGGCAGCATGGACCCGCAGCTGCAGCGGCCCCGCAATCGTGGGCTTCGCTTTAGGCCCAGGCAAGGGACCCCTAGCTCCTGGGACTACCAGCTTTGACCCTGCCCAGCTCCCATCGCTGGCTCCACCCCTACTTCCTGCTATCACTGGCCAGGGCGGCAAAGGCGCCTGATTCTCCGATCATGGCTGGGGGGCAGGGCAAAGGCGGCTCTTAGCTCCCCAGCTCTTAGCTCCCCCCTGGGTTTCCGATCACTGTCAGTGGCAGGGGGCTTCTTCCTGCTTTCCCTTTCGCCTCCCTGCATTGTGCCTACATATGCAAATTAACCGCCATCTTATTGGCAGTTAACTGCTAATCTTAGTTGGCAGTTAACTGCCAATCTTAGTTGGCAGTTAATTTGCATATAGCCCTGATTAGCCAATGAAAAGGGTAGCGCCATACGCCAATTACCATTTTTCTCTTTTATTAGTGTAGATTGATGAGGTATATTGGTTGTTTCTTTTCTTCTAATGGCTTTGGTTTTGATATCTGGATAATGTTGGCCTCATAAAATGAGTTGTAAAGTGTTCTCATCTTTTCTATTTCTGGAAGAGCTTGGGTAGAATTTGCCTTTGAAATAATCTGGGCCTGGAGTTTTCTTTGTTGGAAGATTTTTTTTTAAGAGTTCAATTTCTATAGTATATCACTTTCTTCTTGAGTTTCGGTGTTTTGTGTCTTTCAATTAATCAGTAGACTTCATCTAAATTGTTAAATTTATGGCATAGAGACATTGCCTTATTTTCCTTTTAATATCTATATTACTGTAATGATATCCCATTTTTCATTTCTGACATTATAACCTATGTCTTCGCTTTCTATTTTGGTCAGTCTGCATAAAGAGCTGTCACATATATTGATTTTTTCAAATAACTAATTTTTGGTTTATTTTCTATTTGTTTTCAATTATACTAATTTCTTATCTTGTTTATTTCTTTTCTTCTGCTTTCTTTGAGTTTAATTTGCTCTTTTTCTAGTTTCTAAAGTGGAATCTTAGATTATTTACTTTATACTTTCTCTTTGGTTCTACATGTTAGAGGTATGTTAATTTCCAAATATCTGTGGAGTTTTCAGATATCTTTGTTACTGATTTCTATTTTAAGACCATTATGGTCAGGGAATATCCACTGTATAATTTTAACTCCTGTAAGGTTTTAATTTTTAATGTCACAGAATATGACTTATTTTGGTGAATGTCCCACTTGCACTTGAAAATAATAAGTATTTTGTTACTGTTGGCTAGAGTGGCCTATAAATGTCAACTAGGTCAAGTTGATAGTATTGTTCAGGTCTTCCAGACCCATGCTGATTTTCATTCTACTTATTATTCTGTTGATTATTGAGAAAGAAGTAATGATGTCCCCAAATAGAATTGTGGGTTTGTCTATTTCTTTTAGTTCAGTCAGTTTCTGTCTTGTGCTGTTTGGTACTCTGTCATTGGGGGCATCCCTATTTAGGATTGTTCTGTCTTCTTGGTGAATTGATCCTTGTACCATTATGTAACGTCCCTATTTATACCTGGTCATTTTCTTTGTTCTGAAGTATTCTTTGTCTGCTATTAATATAGCCACTTCTGCTTTATTTTGATTAGTGTTAGGTTGATATGTATTTTTCCATCCCTTTAATTTTAATCCATCAATATGAGGAGCAAGCAAACTTTTTCTATAAAGGGCCAGTAAGAAAATCTTTTAGTCTTTGTGGCCACATATGATCTCTGTCTCCTCTTCCTTCTTCTTTTCTTCATAACCCTCACAAAATATTTTTTTAAATTTCTTTAAAACAGGAGATGGGCCCTAACTGATTTGGCTCAGTGGATAGAGTGTCCGCCTGCGGATTGAAGGGTTCCAGGTTCGATTCCAATCAAGGGCATGTACCCATTGGGGGTGTGCAGGAGGCAGCTGATCTGCTTCTCTCTCATCGATGTTTCTAACTCTCTATCCCTTTCCCTTCTTCTCTGTAAAAAATCAATTAAAATATATAATAAACAAACAAAACAAAACAAAAAAATAGGAGATGGACTGGATTTGACCTGTTGGCCAGTTCACTAGTCCCTATAGATTTTTATGTAGGGTACATTTCTTGTAGACAGCATCTAATTGGGTCCTCTTTTTTTTCTCAATCCAATACGGTAATATGTTTTTAATTGCTGTATTTAGACCATTCAGATTTAATGTAATTATTGCTAGAGCTGAATTTAGGCTTACCATTTTGTTACATTTCTATCACTCTCATTTTTTCTCTTTTCCTTTTTCTGCCTTTGAATTTGTTTGAACTCTTTTTTAAAGTATTCCATCAATTTTGTCTATTGGTTTTTTAGCTGTGTCTCTTTGTGTTACTTTTTAGTTGTTGCTTTAGGGATATATAAACCAAACTTTTCACAATCTATTTTAGAATTAACATCTTCCCACTGCATGTAAAATACAGAAGCCTTATAATCATCTGTACCTTCTCTATGTTCCCTTCTGTTATAGTTGTCGTATGTATTACATCTATATAGCCTAAATCTCTCAGATAATGTTTTCATGTTTGCTTTTTAAAGTTATACATGTTTTAAAGTACTTTAAAAAATATTCCATTGCCTGGTCGGCATGGCTCAGTGGTGGAGCATCGACCTATGAAACAGGAGGTCATGGTTCAAATCCGTCAGGGCACATGCCCGGGTTGTGGGCTCAATCCCTGGTGTATGTGTGTGTATGTATGGGGGGCGGAGGGGAGTGCAGGAGGCAGCCAGTTAATTATTCTCTCTTCATTGATGTTTCTATCTCTCTTTCCCTCTCACTATCTCTCTGAAATCAATAAAAATATATTTTAAAAAATATTCCATTATTTTTGCCCGGATATTTACCTTTTCTGTTGTTTTTCCTTCATTCTTGATGTTTCGAGTTTTATTCTGGTATCATTTCCCTTTTGTCTGGAGAACATTCTTTTATATTTATTTCTTTTAGAGCAGCTCTGCTGGTGGACTTGTAATTTTTTCTTCTTCTTCTGAGTATGTCTTTATTTTGCCTTCATTCATAAAAAAATATTGTTGCTGTATTTAGAATTCTGAGTTGACAGTTCATTGCATATTTTTAAAGACATTGTTTTGTTTCCCTTTCTTTTGGCCATCATTGTTTCTGATGAAAAATCTTTAGTCATTTTACCCTTCAAGTAAGGCATAATTTTCCTCTGGCTGCTTTCAATATTTTCCTTTATCTTTGGCTTTCAGTAATTTGATTGTTGCATCTGGGTGTAGTTTTCTTTGACTTTACCCTGTTTGGAGTTCTCTACATCTTTTGAACCTGTAAATTTAAGTCTTCCAATAAATTTGGGAAGGCTTAGCCATAATTCTTTCATAAAATTGTTTTGGACTCTGGTGGAAACTACAAATATTTAGGCCATTAAAATAAATAAGTTGTAGAGATATACTGTAAAACATAGGGCCTGTAATTAATAACACTGAATTGTATATTTTCAAAAAAATTGCTAAGAGGATAGATCATAGGTTAAGTGCTCTTACCACAACAAGAGAAAAACAGAAAAACAAAAGGGGAAGGAGGAAACTTTTAGAGATGAAAAATGTTACGGCATTGACAGTGATGACAGTGGGTGTACACTTTAATCTGTTTCTCATCTGCTCAAAACTCACTGGCTTCCATTGCTCTCAGATAAAACTCAACTCCTTGCATAGCCTGCAAGGCTGAGCATGCTCAGGCCCTGCTCGCCACATGCAACCCCCCTCACCGCCCCATCTCCATCCTTTTCTCCTTTCCTTTCTGCTCTGCTACCTGGGCATCACCTGTCCCACCCTAGGGCCTTTGCACATGCAATTCCACTGCCTGAAATGATTTTTTTCCATCTTCTGCACCATTTAATATCCACTCATCCGTGCACTCAGCTCAGATGCCACTTCCTGGAGATCAGCCTGCCTCTGCTGGCCCTCTCTCCTGCCGAGCCCCCACCTATAACTGGGCTTGTGGGCTGTGTATTTATAGCACATTTTCTTACCTGAGCGGTGGAGGAAGTGGGACTTCATTGTTCTCCAGCCACAGGAGGAAACGGTGCCTTCCTGGGCCCCAGTTGGCTGGCAGGGCTGTGCCGCCAAGCCCTTCCAACTCACAGGACGCATTTGTTTAGTGTCTGAAAAATCTCCAAAAAAAAAAAAGCCCTTCACAGGTGAGGGCAGCATGGCAGGATCCTGCAGGGCCCTCAGTGTGAATGTTGTCCTTGTCTACTCGCGCCGGTCCCTCTGCCGCAATGCTCAGCGCCTACTGTCCAAATGCCAACGTGCCTTCATTTTGGAACACCAGCTGTAGCTGCACCTGGCTGCAGGTCGCCATCATGCTCCAACCCCTTCTCTCTGGTTTGCGGGACAAAGAAACTGAGGCTCAGGAGTCAGTGGATGGCCCTGGTGCGCAGTGCAGGGCCAGGAGCCGGCCTCCGCCAAGTCCTGTTTGCTGAGCCAAACCTTTCAGCAGCAGACTCAGCATCCTGCTCTCAGGTCACAGGAAACCAGAGGGATCTAGGGCCCATCCATTTCATAGGTGAGGACGCTGGGGCCAAGCCCAGGGCCTCAGGGCTCCCTGGGGAGTTCAGCCAGCGATGAGCTGCACTGAGCCGCTGCGTCTGTCTGCATCAGGCTTGGTGCGTCTATTGATTCTTCTCCCTCCTCTGTAGGGGAGGAGCTCCAAAGGCCAGAGGTCTTAGGACAGAAGCAGAAATCAAGCAGAGAGAACACAGGTCCCCCTCTTCCCCCCAAATTTGCAAACTAGCCACAGAAAGCCACCCAACGCGTGGGTGGAAAAAAGAAGTCCCAGGCATCACCAAGAGGTCTGTAGTTACGGAGTTTGTGGAAACTTCCTAAATGGATTTAGAGGTGGGAGAAGGGGTCCTAGCAGCATGGGGTGTTTTAGTTTCGGCTAGAGGCCACCTGCGTTCTAACTGTGCTAACGGTGAATGTAAACCAGGTCTCCGAGGTTTTCGATTTGGGGGTTTGTTTTTTCATTTTGTTTCTTGACTGAAGGATGCGCCCTGGACTGATCCCCAAAGCTTTCAGGATCACAGTGGAGACTGAAGTGAAACCAGTGCACTAGTTGGAAGTCCCTGCGGACCAGCTCTGCCCCTTGAGGGAGTGCGGGCCTTCTGGAGCCTCCTGCCCTCACACGGCTGGCCCCCGGCCCCCACACGCTGCCGGGAAGACACAGCGTTCCCTGGGCCATCGGGCCTGGGTTTAGGGACCTAACTGGCAGCAGGAGGATGAAGGCAGCCTTTCTCCCCGGTCCTAGCCACGTGTGCAAGGACCCCCACCTGGGCAGCATTCTCCACGAGCTGATCCTGGCTCAGGGTGCAGAGCTGAGACACCGCTCCCATGAGGACAGCATCTCAATGTGCGTGGGGCCTGGTACTTTTCCAAGGGCTTTTAAATGCATTATCTTGTTGGAGGCTCATTTGAGGCAAGGACTCGCGGCAGACTGGAAAACAACTCATTTACTGACTCCTGAATGGGGAGGAAGCTGAATGCAGCTATGTTTTTGCTGAATCTCAAACCAAAACAACCTTTTGTTAAAGAACAAACAAATAAACAAAAATGCTAAACATCAATTCACCAAATTCACCAGGGAACATGGTCTGAAGGGAGGTTCTAGGCAGAGAATCACACAGCAAATTCAATTCAACAAACATATATTGGGGCGGCTCCTGTGGCCACAGATGTGCGCATGGGGCCAGGGAGTGACGGTGAGAAGTCCTCCCTCTCATGAACAGGGCGGGGTGGGGGAAGCGACAGCTCAGCTGTCTCAAGGTGGGTAGTGGTGAACCCGGAATCTCAGTGACCAGGCGGCTGCCCCTCTCCTAGGGCTGTGGCCTCCTCGCTCTCCTGAGAGCCAGGTGACAAAGGTCTCCCTAACCGTGTCAGAGGCCCTCCCCTTGAGTGGCCCTGTCTTCCCAGGGCTTGTGCAGAGCCTGACAAAGGCTCTCTCCTCGTGTCGCCACCTCTGCTGACACAGACCTGACCTCGGGGATGGGGTTTTGGTCTCAGCGCTGGGATTGGACTTGGGGTCCCTCTCCTGGGGTGCTGCTGACCACACTCCTCTTTTGCACAGGATGAGGCCGGCTGGCCCGCAGTGTCACAGTCTGGCTCCCGCCGCTGAGGCCTGCTACCAGCCCAGCCGCCGGGCAGTAGGTGGTCCAGGAGCGGTGGCCAGGCTGTGACCAGGGCGGGGCTGCAGCCAGGACCTGGAGTGGGTGGTCTATAGTGACAAATAGGCCCCAGAGCCCGGGCTTCCTGGCGGGATATGGGAAGGCTCTCCCGGCCTGGGCTCCTCTGACCCTTCAGGCCCCCTCACCCCTGCTTCCCAGAACAGCCGCGTCTAGGCTTCACCCTCTCACAGGAGAGTGGGGTCTCCTGTCCTCTCACCTGCTCCCCGAGTCCTTGGAGAAGCCCGCTAGCTCCAGCAGGAAGCAAGAGTTCTTTCCACCCCAGGTACCTCCTTCGCAAAAGACACTGCCCTTCCCTGTCTCTCGTTCTGTCTGCTGGGTAACGCGCTCTGTTCCTGGCTGCCCTCCAACCCCAGGCGGGTGCGGGGTCGCAGACCACTCACGGGAAGTTCCCAGTCCGTGTCAGCCTGCCCCCTCTCCGGGCTGAGTGCAGGGCTGTGGTCTCCTCTCCGGGGAGAGGGTGCCGACCCCACACGCCTCCCCAGCTACGTAGGACTCTACCATGTCGTGTCGGTGGTGATAGTTGTGGCCAAGTTCACCCAGAAGCACTTCCTTGGCATTGCCCACTCTCTCGTGTCTGCCCGGCTGCCTGCTGTGGGCCACAAGCTCCAGCTCCGCGCACACCTTCCTGGCTCTCAAGCTGGGCGAGCGGGGGCTGGGACAGCAGAATCTCTGTGCAAACTCACATTTCTGTATCACTCGCCAGGAACCACTATCAAGTGGACCCACTGTGCCCACCTGCCCCACCGCCACCCCCTGACCCAGTGGCCTGGGCTTCGTGAGGTCAAGGGAAGCAGCTGTCTTGTCCTAAGGTCCTTTGGCCACTGGGAGAGCAAGGCCTCCGGCTCACAGCCGCGCCCCCCCCCCCCCCCCCCCCCGTGACAGTCTCCCTAAGGCCTGGCACGTAGGCAGGCCCTGAGCCGGCAGCTGCTCCCCAGCTGGGTCCCTGGCCCTAAGGCCGCCTTTGTGCCCGCACAAGGCAGACTCAGTTCTCCTGCTCCTTGACCCTGCATCCTGCAGCCCCTGGCAGGGGGGCGGACAGTGCCAGCTGCCTGAAGCAGGAACTGGACCACCGTAGTGACCTCTGTCTCCTTCGGGGCACCGCAGAGGGAAGCTGGCGAGAGCTGCTTATTGCAAGGCCATTAAGCAAGCTAATGACCCATGAAGGCTCCTGGCCGTTCTGGCCACCCTGGTCGTGCCTCCCCTGGGCTCACAGAGCCTGCTACCCACCGCCTGCCCTGTGACCGCTACTACTGTTACTTAACGTGTCGGGCCAGTTTTCCCACCCAGGGCCAGGTCTGGGAGCTGCTGCTTGACTCTTCCAGCTGAGCTAAGGCTGTGCACACAGCAGGCAGGTAATACATATTTATTTCGAATCAAGCCCAGAAAGAGTCACCTTGATTTCCAAGGCTGGGGAAGGGACTTGAGTCTGGGGACACTTGGTCAGGGGTGAGGTAGTCAGTGGGCCAGGACACAAAGTGGGGCAATGTATCGTGCACCTGTGCTCTGATCCGTTCCCAGCAGAGGCACGGGCAGCTGCTCTCTGCCAGGTGGGGCCCGAGCCCCTGATCTCTTCGCCTCGGCAGCTGTGGGGCAGAGCACAGGAGGGGAGAGGGGCCCTGCCTGCACTCTCGCTGAACTCAGGAGAAGTTGGCTTCCAGGCGCCCTGGGCCCCTCACCTGGGGTCAGGTGGGAGGCCTCCCTGAACCCTGGCCGCTCTTGCCCTTCAGCCCTAGAATCGTGCCTTCAGTGCCAAGGAAACATACCTGACCCAGTACAACACTCAGCCTCAGGATATGCTGGGGGGTGGACAGCCTTCCCTGCAGACCTGGGCTCTCAGAGCCTGATGCTCACTTGGGAGAAGGTGACAGCAGGCCTTGGGGTGGGTTTCTAAAACAGGGCGGGAGAAACAGTGAGACACAGGCCAAGATGTGATGTGGTGCAGCCGCATTTAATTCAACCGCCAGTGAATTCTAAGGGGCCAGAGCAGACTCCTCTTGCTTTATAAAGGTGAGTCCCCACGCAAGTCACCTCCATCCTTTCAAAAGGGTGGGCTGTCTGGACACAGCAGCAGCCCAGGCCAGAGCACGGGCCTGGGCTCTCCGTGACGAGGGCCATGTGGGGAACCTGGGGCAGGACACAGGGCCATAGGCACCCATCTGGGCACCAAGTAGACGCAGGAGGCCTGAATGCAGGAGGCCTGAGGGCCAGTAAGCCAAAGGCGTTGGGCTGTCCATGCGGAGGCCCCAGGAAGCAAGTGCAGAAGCTGGTGGGAGGCCTGCCGACCACTTACACAGCCCAATGCTTCCAGCCCTTCCTCAGGCCCCCCCCCCCCCCCCCCCCCCCGAGCTGTTGTCTAAGACATAGGAGCCATTTCCATCACCACAACAACTAAAAACAAAAACAAACCAAAGCCCATCTTAAGGTATAATCTTCCAATTGCTTAAAATTAATCAGTGCAAAGTGAGGCAGAGCCCCTGCCACTGGGCCAGGCAGGCAGCCAGCCTCACACAAGCCTACGCCTCTTGGAGTCCCTGTCCGTGTCCCCCTCCTGGGAGTCTTCCTCACAGCCAAGCGGGGACACCAGGTTCAGCAGAGGGTCCTCAGAGGCTCGCCCGAAGAGTGCCAGGAGGAGGGCCACCCCGAAGCCCGTGGCGCGCTCACCCTGTGGACAAAGTGCAGGTGGAGCCCCTGCCAGGGAGCCAGACCCCCTCAGCGAGCTGCCTCTGCGGGGAGAGGCTTGGGCCAGGGAGAGGACCCCCACTTTCCCTGCAGACCCCTTCTGCTGCCCTGAACACTCGAACCAAGGAGTGCTCTGGCCTCACTCAGGTTTTATCAGGGTGCGAAAGGGTGAGACCAGGGCCCGGGACTCCTGCTGAGAATGGCTGGCTGGGGAAGGATCGCAAACAGCAGCCACTCTGTTCCCAGGGATGAGGAGACCAGAGGTCAGGGGGGACCACAGCTGGCCGGGAGGCTGGGCCATAGATGGTATGACCCTCAACACAGAATGTTTCCGATGAGCTCAGCCTGCAGCTCTGGAGCCAGACAGGGCTCTGGACGCGCATCCGATGGCGGGAGCCAGGCCGAGGGGAGGGACGGGAGGGGAAGCAGACTGGAGGGCCAGCCAAGGAAGTGTCCTAACCAGGAGGGGAGGACGCCCGCTGGGGCCCTGCACTCACTGCGTGCACAGGCGCGGCGATGTCCAGGTGGACCCAGACCCCAGGCCAATCGAAGCCAATGTGTGAGGCAATGAAAAGGCCAGCACAGGAGCTGGGGCTGTTGTCCCGGTCCTGGGGAGACAGAAGGACAGACAGTGACCCTTCCCCTCCCAGCAGTGGGGGCTTGGGCGAGGGGCTCCACCAAGAGCACCATCAGGGCCTATTGTGGACCCACCTTGCCATCCTCAGCCACCTCCCCTGGTGTCTGAAAGGGGCTAGGGAGGGTCCAGCGCAGCAGTGGCAGCTGAGAGGGACTTGGGACCCCAAGGACCTTGCATGTGAGCTTAGGTCTGCCTTCACCCCAAGGCAAGGGGGCAGTCAGCAAAGGGACTGACGGGGGACAACGGGCAGACCCCAGATGGGGAGGAAACCCAGTACCAGATGTGGTGCGTGCGCCGGCAGGGAGCCCAGTGAATGGTACATCCCCTCTTTAGATCCCCCCTGCCACCCCCCCCCCCCCCCAGCCACAGCAAAGATCTGGGGCCTCCCAAGGGTGACCCTCGTCTACACTGCTGCTGTTTCGTGGGGTCACGCTGACACTTTGAAAGCAGGGCTCTGCCTGCCCCGCTCCCTCACCTCAGGAGCCACTCCAAACCTACCGCCACGGAGTTCTTCATGTCGGCCACGGCCGAGGTGAACTCGCTGAAGTGCAGCTCGGGACAGTAGACGAGGGGGTGCACGAGGTCCCCGCATTTCCGCCCGGACTTCACGCAGGCCGCCTCCCACTCGGCGCTGTTGGTGAGCACGGCAGCGTGGTACTTGCCCGTGGCGATGCCCTGGGGGTCAGGGAGAGTGGGACAGAGCCCCCAGGAGAGGGAACAAACAAGGCAAGAGAGGTGGTGAGAGACGCAGGGGAGGAAGGCCTCCGCCCTGCCCGGGCACCCAGGCCTCAGTCCACGGGCTCCGCTACCTGCACCCTCCCTGGGTCCCCCACCAGGTTATGAAGATGAAATGACAGCACCCCTCTTTCTTGGAGGCCAGGTGGCCTTAGGCTCCCACCTGTGCTCCGGTCAGCGTGGCCATGTCTAGGATGATGTCAGCCCCCAGGTCCTTGCAGGCGTAGGACACACCATCCGCTAGCACCAGCCTGCCCTCAGCATCCGTGTTGTTGATTTCCACTGTCCTGGGGGCAGCAGACACTCCACTCAGGATGGCACTCTCTGAGGCACTCGTAGTGAGTCCCTTTGGAACTGGGTGACCCCACCTAGAGCCCTTGTTTCTGTAACTACCTCACCACCCCTCTACAGTGCCAGGGTCAAGAGCAAAGGCCATTGTGTCAATCCCGCCCATCACTGTCCAGCTAGAATCTGGACAAGCCACTCAGCTCCTGGCCGCAGTTTCCTCTTCTGTAAGACGGGAGAACAGGGTTGTGTGGGCAGCATCTACACCGTTCCCTGGCCCTAGGTAAGTGCAGGGTTACCTGTCAGGGTAACCCTGGGGATGGGCACCATGTGGCAGAGAAAGGGCTCACCCTAGTGAAGCAGGATGGTTCCTGAGCCCCTGAGCCAGGACCCTGGTCACCCTTCTGGACACCCCTGGGAGCAAGCAGCCTGTGGGCCAGGGCTACCTGTCACAGGGCATCTCCAACAGGGTCTGCCCCCAGCTGGAGCAAGCAAGGTGAAATCTGCCCCCAGCAAGCATGGCTCCAGCTGGCCAGCCTGGCCTGGGAAGGAGAGGGCAGCATGGCCGAGGGCCCTGGGCTGCGTGGTGAGCGAGGGGTGGTCTTACTTTCCTGAGTAGAGCAGGTGGATGTCATCAGGCCTCGTTGCGTTGGGCCCCACTGAGTTCTCAGCCAAGCAGAACACCGCGTGAAGGTTGTCTTTGAAACCCTGGCAGAGATGTGGGCAGAGGCTCCAGTACAGGCTGGTCGTGCTCAGACCCCTGGAGTCTTTCTGACAAGCTCATCAAGGGAGGCAGCGGGCAAGGGGGGCGAGGGGCGGGGCAGGGGGCAGGAGCCCGGTGCTGTCCCCCAGGCAGAGCCTGCAGTGCTGAGCCAGGTGAATGCTGGCCGCATTCCTCCTGAGTCTCCGGCCAGCGAGGGAACGAGAGGGCGGATGGCTCGTGCTCCAGGTGCCGCCTCCCCTGCGGGACCACGGTGGCCTGTGGCTTGTGGCTGTGCTTCAGAGAGGCCCCAGGAAGGTCCATTTCTAATGAGGCTGTGTGGGGCAGAAGCAAGAGCAGCCAGGCTCTGGGCCCCTCCCTCCTGCAAGTTCTGTCCTCTTGCAGGGAATAGGCTGGGCTCCTGATCGGCATTAATTAGAAACTTTGCCAAGACCTTCTGCTCTCACTTTAAGTTTACCCCCAGGAACCAAGCCAAACAGGTAGGCCCTACAGAGAGAAGAGGCCTTACATTTGGTGACAGGAAGAGCTGGGCCTCCTAGAAGCAGCCGCAGTAGCTCCTTTTAGGAGGTAAGTCGTCCCTGTGGTGGTCAGGGCACACCACCCCTTTGTTGAACACACACTTTTTACCCGTTTGACATGGGCTTTGGGCTCCAAAGGACATGCATCCCCCAACCTCACCCACTGGCAGTGATCACTGCCCCGGGCAGGTGAGGAGTGCCCTGGAGCCCTCACTTCTTCCCCTTTTAGAGCCTTTGGCCTGTGATGGGTGTGGACTCAGCAGGAAGGATAGGATGGGGGTCCTCCTCTCCCAGGACTGCAGGAGTGGGACCCCACTAACCTGCTTGACGGCAGCCCTGAAGGCCCCTAAGATGGCTGCAGCACCCCCGCAGTCTCTCTTCATCCCGGGCATGGTAGTCTGCGGACAACACCGATGGGTGAGAGAGGAGTGAGTAAATGCTGACTGGTACCCACCTGCCCCATCCCACCCTACTCAGCACCTGGGGCCCAGAGGGGCTCCCTAGACCTGCAATATCTAGAGAAGGGAAGCCAGGACACTCTCACTGGTCAGGTGGGTGTTCTCTAAAAGCAACGGGCAGTAATGGCCAAAGACCAGGGGACCCTTTCACCTGAGCAGAGTTTTGGGGGTTATCCAAGGAAACTGTGGGGGAGGAGAAAAATGAACAGGAGGAGGAGAAGGAGGAATAGGAGGAGGAGAATGAAGAGGAGGAGGAGGAGGAGAGGAAGAGGAGGAGGAGGAGGAAGAGGAGGAGGAGGAGGAGGAGGAAGAGGAGGAGGAGGAGGAAGAGGAGGAGGAGGAGGAGGAGGAGGAGGAGGAAGAAGAGGAGGAGGAGGAGGGAGGAAGAGGAGGAGGAGAATGAAGAGGAGGAGGAGGAGGAGGAGGAAGAGGAGGAGGAGGAGGAGAGGAGGAGGAGGAGGAGGAGGAGGAGAGGAGGAAGAAGAAGAGGAGGAGGAGGAGGAAGAGGAGGAGGAGAATGAAGAGGAGGAGGAGGAGGAGGATGAGGTGGAGGAGGAGGAGGAAGAGGAGGAGGAGGAGGAGAATGAAGAGCAGGAGGAGAAGGAGAATCAGGAGGAGGAGGAAGAGAATGAGGCGGAGAAGGAGGAGGCGGAGAAGGAGGAGGAGGCGGAGTAGGCGGAGGAGGCGGAGAAGGAGGAGGAGGAGGAGGAGAAGGAGGAGAAGGAGGAGGAGGCGGAGGAGGAGGAGGAGGCGGAGAAGGAGGAGGAGGCAGAGAAGGAGGAGGCGGAGAAGGAGGAGGAGGCGGAGGAGGAGGAGAAGGAGGAAGAGGAAAAGGAGGAGGAGGAGGAGAAGGCGGAGAAGGAGGAGGAGGCGGAGGAGGAGGAGGAGGCGGAGGAGGAGGAGGAGGCGGAGAAGGAGGAGGAGGCAGAGAAGGAGGAGGAGGAGGAGGAGGAGGAGGAGAAGGAGGAAGAGGAAAAGGAGGAGGAGGAGGAGAAGGCGGAGAAGGAGGAGGAGGAGGAGAAGGGGGAGAAGGAGGAGGAGGCGGAGAAGGAGGAGGAGGCGCCGGAGGAGAGGGGGACAATGATAAAGAACACACAACAGAGGGGACTAAAAATGGCGGCAGAGTAAGTGGCAGGCACACGGACATGCTCCCAGGGCCAAACGAATTACACCTAAAATAAAGAAATATTCCTCAGTAGTCCACAGAAGATTCTCTGGAGAGAACCCTGATACCTGAGGACAGAGAGTGGAGACCACATAGAGACTGGTGGGAGGGGCGGAGGTGCGAAAGGCCTGCCAGGCTCCCACAGACAGCAACTGAGGTTCCAGAGAGATCTCTCGGCTGTGGGGGTTGCCACTGAGAACGGTGGGATCTAATCCCCAAGCTGGGCCCCAGCAGAGAGCACCAGAACTGAGAGGGTACCCACATCACATCTGGCTGTGAGAAGCAGCAGGGTGGCTGTGGGCCAGGGAGAGACTGGAAATTCCAGCACTTTCTTAAAGGGCCAACACACAAAATTCCCTATGGAGCCACCCATCTTGTGCTCCAACAGAGGGCGGGCAGAGTGGACTGGAGCTGTGTGAGCAGAAGCTGGGATCAGAGGTTCTGGGGTTAGAGCTCAGAAGGCAGACACCCCAGTTTCCTGTGCTGAGTCATTCCCTCACACTGCGGAGGTCATCTTTCTCACACAGACATTTGCTATACAGGTGACCTTGCCTGGGGGGAAGACAGCTGATCCACCCTATTGGAAAATGCCTTGCACCACACTGCAGAGTTTCTGAGGCCCATTAAGAGACAGGATAACAATAGCATCCAGGCAGAAGCAATTGCCCCACCTGTTGAAAACACTCTTGCCACACCTGTGGATGATTGCCTGAGGGCAATTCAAGACAAAATCCTATCAGTCTGTAGACAGAGGTGATTACTGGAGGCTTTGAATCTTGCCTGATCTAATTAGTCAGAAACAGCATTTGACACTGTCCTGCACTAGAGATTGAGAGGCATAGCAGATCTACCTAACACACAGTCACAAACCCAAACAGGCAGCTAAAATTGGGAGGCAAAGAAACAAACTCCAAATGAAAGAACAGGAGAATTCTCCAGAAGAGATAAATGAACCAGAGATAAGAAATTTATGTAGTACAGAATTCAGAATAATGACGATAAAGACGTTCAATAGCATGATAAAAGATACAGTAACTATGAAAACAAATAAAGAATGACATAGCACAAATAAAGAATATATTGGAAGGAATAAACAGCAAATTAGGAGAACCTGAGGACTGAATCAATGAATTAGAAGACAGGGTTGTAAGAATAACTCAATCAGCAAACCAAAAAGAAAAAAAAGAAAAAACAGGAGGACAGCTTAAGGGAGCTGTAGGACAAGGTGAAACATAACAATATTCGAAAAGCAGGTGTGCCAGAAGTAGCAGGAAGGGAGAAAGGATAGAAAACGTGTTTGAAGAAATAATGGCAGAAAACGTCCCTAGCCTGGTAAAGGAAAAAGTCACACAAGACCAGGAGGAACAGAGAACCCCAAACAAGAAAATCCCAAACAGGCCCACACCCAGACACATCACAATTAAAATGCCAAAAAAAAAGACAAAATGAGAATCTTAAAGGCAGCAAGAAAAAAGCAAATTGTTAGCTACAAAGAAGCTCCCACAAGGCTGATTTCTCATTAGAAACTCTACAGGCCAGAAAGCAATGGCATGAAGTACTCAAGGTAATGGAAAGCAAGGATCTGAGACCAAGATTACTATATCCAGCAAGGCTATCATTCAAAATAGATGGTCAAATATAGAGTTTCCTGGACAAAAAAAGACTAAAGGAGTACGCCACCACCAAGCCAACATCATAATAAATGCTAAAGGGACTGTTGTAATGAGAAGTAGAGAAACCCAGGAATACACAATTAAAATGGCAATAAATAATTACCTATCCATAATAACCTTAAATGTTAAAGAATTAAATGCTCCAATCAAAAGTCATAGGGTAGCTGAATGGATAAGAAAACACGACCCATATATCTGATGTCTACAAGAGACCCACCTCAGAACAAAGGACTCACACAAACTGATAGTGAAGGGATAGAAAAATTTTTTTCCAGGTAAATGGAAATGAAAAGAAAAAAAAAGCTGGGGTAGCAATAGTTATATCTGACAAAATAGACCTGAACGTGAAGGCCATAACAAGAGATAAGGAAGGCCACTTCATAATACTAAAGGGAGCAATTCAGCAAGAGGATATAACTCTGGTAAACATATATGCACCCAATACAGGAGCACACAAATACATAAAAAAACTTCTGGAAGATATCAAGGGAGAGATCGCCAGCAATACAATCATAAAAGGGGACGTTAATAACCCATTGACACCACTAGATAAATCCTCTAAACAAAAAAATCAGCAAAGAAACATTAATTCTAAATGACTCACTAGATCAGATGGAATTAATTGACATCTTCAGAACATTGCACCCCAAAGCTACAGAATATACATTCTTCTCAAGTGCACATGGAATATTTTCAAAGATAGACCACATATTGGAACACAGGCAAAGACTCTTCAAATTCAAGAAGATAAAAATCCTATCAAGCATCTTCTCAGACCACAATGGCATAAAATTAGAAATCAACTACAATAAAAACAATGAAAAAAATCAAACACTTGGAAGATGAATAGCATGCTATTAAACAATGATTGGGCTACCAAAGATATCAAAGAAGAAATTAAAAACATCCTGGAAATGAATGACAATGAAAACACAACAATCAAAAATCTATGGGTTCCCTGTGAGGCTGAGACGGTCCCTGTGAGGCTGAGATGGTCCCTCTGTGGCTGAACACAGGGACACGTCACAGATGGAAATAGCTACATTTTCCATGTGTATGACCCTGCAACAAAAAGCGTACACCTATGGATGAGGACAGTGGGGGGGGGGGGGTAAGGGCAGAGGGTGGGGTGGGAACTGGGTGGAGGGGAGCTATGGGGGGGAAAAAGGGGGAACAACTGTAATAATCTGAACAATAAAGATTTATTAAAAAAAAAAATCTATGGGACACAGTGAAAACAGTCCTGAGAGGGAAGTTTATAGCTCTACAGGCCTACCTCAAAAAACAAGAAAAAATGCTAATAAGTTATCTAACTCTACAACTTAAAAGAATTAGAAAGAGAGCAACAAGAAAAGCCAAGAGTGAGCAGAGGGAAGGAGACAATAAAGATTAGAGCAGAAATAAATGACATAGAGACCAAAAAAAAAAAAAAAAATACAAAAGATCAATGAAATCAAGAGCTAGTTCTTTGAAAGGATAAACAAGATTGATGAACCTCTGGCCAGGCTCACCAAGAAGCAAAGAGAGAGGACACAAATAAACAAAATCAGAAATGAAAAAGGTGAGGTAACAATAGACTCTATAGAAATACAAAGGACTGTAAAAAACAAAAACAAAACAAAAAAAACTCGAACAGACAACTCCACTCTAATAAACTGGACAACCTAAAGGAAATGGACATATTCCTAGAAAAATACAACCTTCCAAAACTCAATCAGGAAGAATCTGAAAACCTGAATAGGCCAATAACTAATGATGAAATTGAAACAGTAAGCAAAAATCGTCCAGCAAACAAAAATCCTGGTTCGTACAGCTTTACAGGGGAGTTCTACCAAATACTCAAAAAAGAGCTAAAACCTATCCTCCTCAGACTATTCCAAAAAATTCAACAGCAAGGAACACTTCCAAGCTCATTCTATGAAGCTTAGATAAAGACAAAGATAAAGACAAAACCAAATAAAGACACCACAAAGAAAGAGAACTACAGGCCAATATCCCTGATGAACATAGATGCTAAAATTCTCAACAAAATTCTAGCAAACTGGATCCAGCATTACATTAGAAATATTATACACCATGACTAAGTGAGATTTATTCCCGGG